AATTAGCTGGAAACCTTCCATCTTGTCCGATTCCGCAACAGTTTCTACGGGATCTTCCCGAACTGTCACTAGCGGATCCAAAGTTCTACGAGAGCGCACAGATAGATATTCTGGTCGGGGCCGACATCCTGCCATCCATTCTCCTAAGCGGCACCCGGCCGAATATTTGTGGCTCTCTCCTCGGGCAAGAAACCATTTTCGGGTGGATCCTAACAGGACCCGTTCCTGCTCCAAGGGAAAATCAGATTTCCGTTTTTTTCACACCGATCTCCCACACAGTTGACACGTCCCTGGATAGGCTTCTCACCAAATTTTGGGAGGTGGAGGATCTGCCAGTAAAAGTGACAAAATCTTCCGATTTGACATGTGAGGAAAATTTTCTCCGAACGACTACGAGAGTCGATAATGGCAGGTATGTCGTAAGTCTTCCGATTCGTGATCCTCAAAACGTAAAATCCGCCCTCGGTCACTCCAGATCCTCCGCGTTGTCGCAGTTCCTAAGAACCGAGCATCGCCTAAAGAGGGACTGTCAGCTGAAAGCCAAATACGACTCCGTGATTCAAGAATATCTCGACCTCAATCACATGAAAGAAGTCCGTCCTACCCATAATTCTGCCAGTTATTACCTTCCGCATCATGCCGTCCTCAAGCCGGAAAGTACAACCACTAAGTTACGTGTGGTTTTCAATTCCTCCAACCCTTCAGAGAATGGGGTCAGTTTAAATAATATCCTTCATGCTGGCCCAGTCTTGCAGTCCGATCTAACTATCCAGATCCTGAAGTGGCGATATTTCCGATACGTCTACAGTGCCGATATCGAGAAAATGTATCGGTAGATATGGGTAGATCCGAAGCATTCCCCGTTCCAGCGCATCTTATTCCCCAACAGCGAGGGGCACATTCGACATTTCGAATTACAGACGGTAACTTTTGGAGTCAATTGCGCGCCATTCCTGGCCATTCGAGTCCTGCAACAGTTGGCAACTGGCGTGCAGCTCAGCCATCCGGTAGCGAGCAACGTCATTCGAAATCATATGTATGTAGACGATGTCCTTTCGGGAGCTGACTCCGCCGAGGACGCTAAGTCCATTGTTCGCGAGCTACAAAGTGCTCTAGATTCCGCGGGGTTTCCATTGAGGAAATGGACCTCCAACAACAAAGAAATATTAGCTCATATCCAAAGCGATCATCTTCTGAGAACCGACTTCCTCGAGATCGACACTGAGAGCACAGCCAAAACTCTCGGCGTACGATGGAAGGCGACGTCCGATGAGTTCTTTTTCGTCCCACCAGATTTAGCAACGGAAATCTCCCACACGAAACGCCAAGTCCTTTCCCAAATTGCCAAGCTGTTTGATCCAGCAGGCTGGCTCGCTCCATTTGTTGTGTGTGCCAAAATCTTTATGCAAGAGATTTGGCTTCAGGATCTAGGCTGGGACGATAAACTTCCAGTTGAGCTTTGCCAAAGGTGGAACAGCTTTCTCCAGAGCTATTCGGTCCTAGACCAGGTCAGAATACCCAGATGGGTTATCTTCCGTCCAGAGTTCCGCGTAGAGCATCACGGATTCTGTGACGCCTCGCAAAAGGCATACGGTGCTGCGATCTATGTGCGCGTAGAAGTGGTCCATAAGACGATGGTGCACTTGCTCACGGCCAAGACGCGTGTGGCGCCAGTCAAAACGATGTCCCTTCCCAGGCTGGAGTTATGTGGGGCTCTCCTTTTGTCCGAGATGGCCGAAGCCATCCTTCCTAATATGCCGAGGCTGACCTCAAAATTCCATTGTTGGACCGATTCCACGATTGGACTACGTTCGTTGCCAACAGGGTGACGAAGATCACCCATTGGTCGCACGTTCAATGCGAACATAATCCGGCTGATTTGGCTAGTAGAGGAGTTCCCCTTCAAGAGCTGGTGGATAACCCGCTTTGGTGGCATGGACCCACTTGGCTGCAACGTCCACGCGATCATTGGCCCAGCCAGGGAACCGACCTGCCGGTGACTGAGATCGAAAAGCGTGCCGTTAAAGTCCATGTGGCGTCTATGCCGTCAGAAGATTTCCTAGATCGCTTTTCCAATTTAGATAGAGCTTTGCGGGTCCTCGCGTATGTCCATCGATTTGTCCAACGATGTCGAAGACAATCACCGCCTTCCGGGGTCCGTCTAGAGGCCCAGGACGTTGCCGCCGCGGAAGAACTCATGACAATTTGCACTCAACGCAGGTATTTTTCTGAAGAATACCGCTGCTTGAGTCAGAAGCGTCCTGTGCCCGCGGCGAGTTCGATTCTCTCCCTGAACCCCTTTCTAGATAAGAAAGGGGTAATCAGGGCATGCGGCCGCGTAACGGCCTCCGACAGTTTGCGGTATGATGAACGACATCCGATAATCCTGCCGTACGAATGTCCACTCTCGCGGCTTCTGGTCAAATTCACGCATATTATTACGTTACATGGTGGCAACCAGTTAGTGGTGCGTCTCACTCGGTCCAGATACTGGGTTCCGAGAATAAAGAACTTGGTGAAGGCAGTGGTTAACTCCTGCCAGGTCTGCGTTATCCACAAAAAGAGATTGCAAGTCCAGATGATGGGAAGTTTTCCGAAAGAGCGAGTGTCTTTTTCCTGTCCGTTCACGGCCTGTTTGATATAAAAAATTATACCGCAAGAGCTTGTCTCATTACGAAAGGGTATGTGTTGGTTTTCGTTTGTTTTTCTACAAAGGCCATCCATCTAGAGCCTACATCCGACTTAACGACTGAAAAGTTTCTTGCCGCTTTCGCTCGTTTCGTCTCTAGAAGAGGGTGTCCTCGCCAAGTCCAGTCCGACAATGAAAAGACCTTCGTCGGCGCCTCCACCGTGCTTTCCCGAGACTTCCTGCAAGCAGTTAAGGAGTCTGTGACCGATGTGGCAGCTCACCTGGCAATTCATTCCTCCTGGGGCACCCCATAAGGGAGGCCTATGGGAAGCCGGTGTCAAGAGCTTCAAGACCTTGTTTTACAAGTCCACCGCTACACGGAAGTACACCTTTGAAGAGCTGTCCACCCTCCTAGTGAGAATCGAAGCTTGTCTGAATTCCAGACCGCTATCTCCCATGTCCGAGGATCCAACTGATCTCTTAGCGTTGACACCAGGGCACTTTCTTGTTGGTGGACCTCTTCTATCCATAGTGGAACCTGAAGTAAAGGGCGAATCCAAGTCCATTCTGAACCGGTGGCAGCACTTAAAGTCTCTCCATCAACAATTCCGCACTCGATGGAAGGATGAGTACCTTAAGGAGCTCCACAAGCGCAACAAGTGGCAAGTCCCCACAGAAAATCTGCGTGTTGGCGATCTGGTCGTCGTTAAGGATGACAATTTGCCCTCAAATGAGTGGCGACTCGGAAGAATAGACTCCGTTTTTCCGGGAGCGGATGGCAATGTCCGCGTAGTCGACATTCGTACGACACGCGGCATTGTCAAACGTCCAGTGACCAAGGTGGTTCTTCTTCCAAGAGAGCCGCCCAAAACTACCTCGTAACGAGCCGCGTTTCTTACACACCTTAGTCCGTAGCCATTATCCACGTCATTGTTAATCAGCCCTGTTTGTTTTTCCTTTTCCTTATCCACACTCTAAACAGGAAAATGGCTCCCCGTCCACGTTGCGCTCAGGCTTTGGATAGCAGACGTACTAGAGGTACTCAGTCCTACCGATGCCGAGTCTGCCGCGGAATCCATCCTCTTCGGAAGTGTCAGAGGTTCCTAAAGCTGAGCGCAGAGAAGCGGCTGCGGTCAGTTCTCATTAACAAGTACTGCGCGAACTGTCTCGCACACGAGCACTCCACTGGGAGCTGTCGTAGCGGTGACCGGCGCAGAACGTGCAACCGGAACCGTCACACGCGGCTGCACATGCACGACCTTTTTTCCCGGAAAAAGTCCGGCTCCAAGCAAAAGTCCCGCTCCAAGCAACAGCCCGCTTCTCCGCAGCGTTCGCGCCGGCAAGATCCGCCAACTCGCCAAACGCCTGCCCCTCCACCGCGCTCAGCATCCTCGACACCAGATCCGTCGCTCGCCGCACTTCTCCAGCGACATAGCGTCAATGTCCTCCCGACTGCTGGGGTGATCGTCGAGACCGGAGAGAAGACGTTCGACACCGCCGCACTCATCGATCCGTGCACCCCGACAAGCTCCATCGATGCATCCCTGGCCACCGCGTTTCGTTTGCCGACAACAAACGTGGGCGATGAGAGCATATGCACGGCGACGATTCGTTCGAAGGTCGACGAGGCCATCAAGCTGGAGGTGGTCCTCAAGATCGAGCCGAACGTGCGCATCCGCACCCCCATCCGTGCGCTCACTGAGAGCGTCGTCCAGAAATTTAAGGAGCTACCGCTCGCGGATGAGCGTTTCCACCGGCCAGCCACTATTTCATTGATCCTGGGCGCGGACGTCTACCCGAAGGTGATACAGCCGGGCTTCCACATGGTCGACGAGGGATTGCCAGTAGACCAGAAGACGGTGTTCGGGTGGATCGTCTCCGGCGGCTGTACGCAGGCTTGAGGCGTAGGCGACTGGCCGAAGTTCCGTCTCCTTTATTTTTTGCAAGGGGGGCGGAATGTTCAGGCCCACTGTCCGGCGAATCTGGATCGGCCCCGCTATCCAGCTGCACCGCTCTCCCGCTCTCCTGCGCTGTTCTTAGCTCCCTCCATGAAGTCTCCGTTGCGCTTTGGAGCGCAGAGCGGAGCTTAGACTTAGGCAGTTCGATTCTGGAGTTAAAACTGAATAAACCGCGGTCGTACCCCCGCCTACTTTCCAAGTTAACTTTTGTGCGTACTTCTTTTCGATCAAGGGGCAATACGCGTTCGAGTGGTTTCTCCCCTACATCTTCCGCAACACCAGCAGCAAACCGCACCAGCAGCAAACCGCCGAAGCCCAGCGCAGCAGCCCGCCGACGCCACCAGTTTCCCGCCGTCGCTTCCCACGCCATTCCATCAGCGCCACCACGGTACCCCGCTACCCCCCGGCGTACAGCATTTATATTTTGTATAAGGGCTTTGTCCGCTTGTATACACCGTCCCTGGCATATAGGAAATTTTGCTGAACAATGTTATTTAGGTCCAGCTCCGTCGTCATGAGAAATTTAGTAAAACCCATTTCTAAATTGAACAGGAACAAAAATTGTTTTTTATTCAGTCAAAGTAAAAATAAACTAGAAGACATCACCTTTTACAATGAAATATGTGGAGAATCATTGGATGCTGGGTTTCTCCGCAGTTACACGCCAAGTAATGTCCACAGCTAGCTTGTTCGTAAATAGTTTTAAATAATCGTGAGCGTAATTTTGCACCCTTTGTTGAGAGGGACATTTAAATATGTTAGGCAATAAGAAAACATTTAGAAAAAACAAAGCTATATTTAATAAACGCACAAATTCGATACAAAACCGCACTGTCCACAGACATATCGCGAATCGAAATAACGCTCGGGCGAAAAATAATAGCGTGGGTCAAAAGGAAGACTGGAGAAATTTTCAGAAAAAATGGGGTAACGGAAAATTACCGCAAGCTCTTTTTATCGCGTGTTTTTTTCCACTAATTTGGTTTTTGTAAGATATGTACTACGTTTTTCTATCGCTCAGAAGTGTCTCAGAAATTACTTCTTCGCGATCCCGACCCATTTTGTTTTTGTAAAATGTGTACAATCGTCTTTATATCGTCCAAAAGTGACTTAGAAGTGACTTTTACGCGACATATGTATATATTGGTTTTGTAAAATTTGTTCTATCGTTTTTCTATATGGACAACAGGCGATAGAAATATCGCCCTCTTACTTGCAGGGGTGTTCTAAACTTTGTGCGAGTTAAATATAGCTGCTTTTTTAAGGACATTTATCTATCGATATGTTTTTGGTATGACAGACAGAGCGCATGACCTCTGCGGTTTCTTTGACTTCACCAGGGCGAAGGACGTAAAAAAAAAAGAGCAATAAGGACACAACAAAACCAGCACAGTAAATACACAATAAGCTGACATCCCAAACAATAGATTACCGTTAAGATAGCGCTATGAAGCTAACTCTGCGACGGTACTCCTGGGTGCTTTTGCTTTAGTTCGCCCTTTTGGGAGTAGACCTTCTCTTAAACGCATTTGGGCCTTCGCTTGCTAGAAACCGATTGCAGACAGCCATATTTCTCTTTGTGTAAGTTTTCAAAGTTTGGAGGATTTCGATTACTGGACTTAACCAGTTTATTTCAGAATTCTTCTGATCATTACGGAGTATTTGCTGTTCACCATGGCGCTGCATTCAACGTGTGTGTACCAGGTCGGTGCCTCCTTCATAATCCTGCGGAACTGCAAGCTCTTCCTGATCAGCATTACCCTGTACTTTCTTCTGTCTGCCTCCCAGCATTTCTGGATCATCTACCAATATCATCACCCACCAGGCGAAGAAAAGCAGCACTGGCCAATAGGTCTAATATCTTTATCATTGGGACAACGCATCAGTGAGATCCAGAAATAATGCTTACACGCTTATCGTGATGTTCACCTCCTTCTTCGCAGTGTCGGTTTTCTATTACTAAAGCTTCAAATCAACAGCTCTAACCATGGCGGATCCCCGCTTCAAGGAGAAACATCTGGATTGGATCGCGGACCAGCTGGCCGATAAGTAATGAAGTAGTTAAAGCGATGTGTTGATTGTAGCGTGGAATTTTTAAGTGTAAGTGAAAACGATAAGGGAACGCATATAATGAAAAATAAGTAAAATTTGTAGGTTTTGAATATACACCATCGGTCGTCCGCTTCCCTCTAAGCGGGCATAGGGAATTGCCCTGCTTGTTCATTGCCGACTTATATGTTAACAGTAAGCAACAAGTTTCTGAACAAACACATCCATAATCTACCCCGTATGGCCCAATTTGCACCTACAAATTACTCCATATACATATTGTCCCCCCATTCAATTATATTATATCCAAAAATTGATTTGTTGCACAGGCGTAATCACATAGCTGATATCTCCAACCCACTATGTTATTACATACTATGTCCATTAGGGTAGATTTTTTTATGGCCAAAGAGCTCACATTCATAAATGGCACATTTCTGTACAAACTTAAAAAAAAATTTTTTTTTTTTAAGTTTAGGGTGTGAGCAAAGGCCTTAATCTTTCTAACTAAAAAACAAGGAAGAACACTATAGTCGAGTACCCCGACGAGCATAAAAATTGTAGGAGCCACAGTTTTGGGCGGTTTGTGGGCGTTAGAGTGGGCGTGGCACATTGCTGAAACAAACTTGCGCTGCGTAAGAAGCTCAGGAACCTGCACGCCAAATCTCAATAGCCTCGCTCTTATAGTTTCCGAGATCTCAGCGTTCATCCGGACGGACAGACAGACGGACAGACGGTCATGGCTAGATCGACTCGGCTAGTGATCCTGATCAAGAATATATATACTTTATGGGGTCGGAAACGCTTCCTTCTGCCTGTTACATACTTTCCGACGAATCTAGTATACCCTTTTACTCTACGAGTAACGGGTATAATAACTCACACAACACATAAACATTTTCCTTACTTCCTTAATTTGTTAACTTGTTGGTTATGATCGAACAAGGGAAATAAAGAGAACCTTATTACTTGAATTAAATCAGCTCGAAGTTGCCTAGTCCGTAGGTCTTCTGTCCTTGACTCCAATAGGACGCGTTCGGTCTCCAAGAAATCGATTTTTGGACTACCCTTTTAGGATAAGGTGTTTAGGAGACTTAAATTAAGTTCATGGTATTCACATTGATGGTATTTAAAATTTGTGTAGATAAAGGGCTATGTTAGCATAAAGCAATTCGCATATAAAGAAGTTATAGTCTATTAATGGTGGTTTAGGTTATGCCTATTATTTTGAAGTATTTCGCTTCCAAGGATTTCGACTTTATGAACGACTTAAAAAAATGAAACAGTACTATTTAGCAAACTGTCAAAGTTAAAATGCAAGACTACGGCATCTAGACGAATATAAGATATGCTTAAAAACCTTCAGAGCCATTGCGCACCAGCCAAAACCAGGGACCGAAAATAACACTAATTTTATTTGTTTTGATCGGAAAAATCGTAGAATTCGGATAAAACTAAAAACCGGAGAAAAAATTCACAAAAACCAATTAAATGTGGCCTATTCAATTCAGCGATGACCTAACAATTTTTAACTTTTTGGAAATGGTCACATATGAAGTAACTGTTGTTTTCTGACTCTTATTAATATAATAATTAATTAATATTAGTCTAATAATAACTATAATGTTAAGACTAAAAAAATAAAAGTCTAAATAACTCTTATAAGTAGAATTTTATTAAAAAAGTAACCAATTAGTCGGTTTTTCGGGACCGAAAATATAAGTCTTAAATATCTGTTCCTAATTGTTATACACGTTACTCGTAGAGTAAAAGTGTGTTCTAGATTCGTCGGAAAGTATGTAAAAGGCAGAAGAAACCGTTTCTGACCCCATAAAGTATATATATTCTTGATCGGGATCACTAGCTGAGTCGATCTAGCCATGACCGTCTGTCCGTCTCTCTGTCTGTCCGGATGAACGCTGAGGAAACTATAAGAGCTAGGCTTTTGGGATTTGGCATGCAGATTCCTGAACTTCTTACGCAGCGCATGTTTGTTTTCTCTAACGCCCACAAACCGCCCAAAACTGTGGCTCCTACAGTTTTAATACTAGAGCTGAAATGCATTGTTCTCATCAATACCTATCGATTGACCCAAAAAAAAGTTTGCCACGCCCACTTCAAAAAGTCGTAAATATGAACGCGGATATCTCGGAAACTATCAAGGATAGGGAACTTGGATTTCAGATTTAGATTCCAAAGCCTGTACACAGCACAAGTTTGTTACGCCAATGTGCCACCCCCACCCTAACGCCCACAAACCGCCTTATACTGTGGCTCATACAGTTTTAATGCTAGAATAAAAATTTTAACTGAAATGTGTTAGTCTCGTCAATACCTATCAATTGGTTCACAAACCACCCAAGCCTGTGTCGCCCACAGTTTTCATGCTAGCAAAAAATTGTAACTTAAGTGCAATAGTCTCGTCAATACCTATCGATTGAACAAAAAAAAAAGTTTACCACGCCCACTTTAACGCCCATAACGCTTAAGTCTTTCTGCCGTCCACATAACCATATATTGAGATCGCGGGTAGGTGCCGCTTTTCAATCTCACTTTGCTGCTCGCATATCTTCATCTCCCTTTGGTCCCTTTAGCTGAGTAACGGGTATCTGATAGTCGAGGTACTCGTCTACAGCGTTCTCTCTTGTTATACCCGTTACTCGTAGAGTAAAAGGGTATACTAGATTCGTCGGAAAGTATGTAACAGGCAGAAGGAAGCGTTTCCGACCCCACAAAGTATATATATTCTTGATCAGGATCACTAGCCGAGTCGATCTAGCCATGTCCGTCTGTCCGTCTGTCCGTCTGTCTGTCCGGATGAACGCTGAGATCTCGGAAACTATGAGAGCTAGGCTATTGAGATTTGGCGTAAAGATTCCTGAGCTTCTTACGCAGCGCAAGTTTGTTTCAGTAGACTGCCACGCCCACTCTAACGCCCACAAACCGCCCGAAACTGTAACTCCTACAGTTTTGATGCTAGATAGAAAATTTTAACTGAAATGTATTGTTCTCATCAATACCTATCGATTGACCTAAAAAGTTTGCCACGCCCACTTAAACGCCCACAAACCGCGAAAACCTGTGACGCCCACAATTTGCATGCTAGATAAAAAATTTTAACTGAAATGTATTGGTGTCGTCAATACCTATCGATTGATCCAAAAATAAATTTGCCACGCCCACTCTAACGCCCATAACGCTTAAATCTGTCTACCGCCGGTAGGTGGCGCATTTTAATCTCGCTTTGCTGCTTGCATATCTCCATTTCCCTTTGAGTAACGGGTATCTGATAGTCGAGGTACTCGACTATAGCGTTCTTCCTTGTTTTTGTTTGAATTCGGTTGGAATTTGATCTTATGTCTGTTCTTAAAATTGCAATTTTTCTTATACACATGAATTCTACAACACAACGCTACCGCAAATTCTTCAGAGAAAGTGGAACCACTAATGACCATGGGAACAAATTTGTTAATGCTGGCCATTTTAAGCCATCCATAAATTCCTTACAATATAAAAACCGTAAATTCTTCAGAACAAGAGGAATCTCTGTTGACCATGGTTACATATTTGTTAGTGCTGGCAATTTTAAGCCATCCATGAATTCCCAAAAATATGAATTCGCGAATTTGTTAGCACAAGAGGAACCAACCAAGTTCCAACAGAAGATCTCTCTGTGTCATTTCCGCTGGCAACAAATATTTAAGACTTTTATATTTTTGATCATTTAATAACAATTATTTTTGAAGTTTTCAGTAAAAGTCTTCAAATAACAGTTACTTAGACTTTTATTTCTACATTTCATTTTATTAAAAGCCATTGAATAAAAGTTACTGAAAGACTTTTGTTTTTTTTTAGCAGGGGTCGAGAAACTTTCTATCTATTTACTATTGCCCGCAATGTATCTAAAAATCAGCCAAATTGGAGAAGAAATACCAAAATATATTAGGTCGCTTAAAATAAAAATTACAAACATTGAGTATTTACGGTCCCTGTTTTTTAGAAAATACCTGTTATGTTCAGACTTTTATGTTAAAGTTGAAAAATAACAATTACTTCATGACTTGAAAATAAAATGTGATGAATGCCGATTAAAAATTGATTTTTAAAGTTAAAGTTATAACTGTTACGGTCCTTGTCTAAAACTAATTTGTTCAACCTTTTCTTTTGGTTATGCATTAAAAATACCAAAAGGAAATATATAATGAATAAGTAAGACGTAACAAATTTCATGAAAAATGAAGTCCGCCTTAATGGACCTCCCACAAATAAACCAGAAAATGTCATTGTATTGCGTGCCGACAGCTGACCTAAACTTTATGTGGTCAGAAACGCTTTCTTCTTTTATATGTAGATTTTACATAGTTAACTAAAAAAGTGGAGCCTATCTTATTTAGTTATAAAAGCCAATTAGTAGTAAGAACGTACAACTGTTATAAGTGATTCATATTTCAAATCGTTTATTTCCCTAAAAATTACTTAGAAAGAAATAATTCTTCGAGTAGGTGCGAGAAAAATTCGATTTTTACATTTTACACTTTTTACCTTTATCTACTATATGTGACCATGTCCTCGCTAGAAACTTGAGAGGTGCCACACCTTACTGAAATAAGTTTGCGATGCGCAAGAATCTCTGGAGTCTGTATTCTTAATCTGAACTTTTTAGCATTTATAGTTTTCGAGGTCTAAGCGTTTATACGGACAGACGAACATAGCTCATGATCTTGATCACAAATACGAGGGTGGTCCAATACGTACTTAGCCTCCAAAAGAAAAACAAAAATTTTGGAAAAGTGGCGATTTATTTCTCAACATATTCTCCTTTTGGCTCGATACACTTGACCCAGCGATGCTCCAACTTCTTTAACCCGTCTGAAAAATAAGTTTTCTGGAGGTCTGCAAAATAGGCCTCTGTGGCGGCGACGACCTCCTCATTCGACGCAAATTTCTGTCCAGCGAGTGACTTTTTCAAGTTTGGAAACAAAAAGAAGTCACACGGGGCCAAATCTGGAGAACATGGTGGATGGGGTAGCAGTTCGTAGCCCAATTCGACCAATATGGCCTTGGCGAGGGCGAAAGTGTGAGCCGGTGCGTTGTCATGATGGAAGAGCACATTTTTCTTCGCAAATGGGGCCGTATTTTCTGCAATTCGGCGGCGAATCGGCCCAAATTTGCCCTTCTCCAGATAGTCGATGTAGATCACACCTTGTGAATCCCAAAAAACGGTGGCCATCACCTTTTCGGCCGATGGGACGGTCTTCGCCTTCTTCGGAGCAAGTTCGCCGGGTGAAGTCCACTGTTTGGTCTCTGGTGTGTACCTGTGGATCCATGTTTCTTCGACGGTCACGAAACGACGCAGAAACTCCTTCGGATTGCGTTTGTTGTCCGGAGAGAGCAAACGCGGCACCCATCGCGCCGACAGCTTTCTCATGCCCAAAATTTCATTCAGGATATGACCCACGCTGTCTTTTGACATGCCTACTGTCTCACCTATCTCGCGTACCTTCAATCGGCGGACCGATATTGCTCTTTCTCCATTTTCCTAAAATACGCGGACACGTCCGATTCCACACGCAGTCAAAACAAAACCGACCGTAGCCGTCTACGAGAATGTACTACACGATAGTAAATTTCTCTTGCGGTAGTGACGCCATCGGGCGGTGAGGCTAAGTACTTATCGGACTCCCCTCGTATATATACTTCATAGGAGTGGTACCCACACAAATACAATAAAATGAAAGTCTATCATTTATATATGTGCGTCAACCGAAGACGCCGGCCAAGGCCACACGACCGTTTACACCAGTGGTCGGCACACACATACCATCACAAGTTTGCCTTGCATTAGTGTGAGTGTAACAAACACAAAGTTTGCGCGCGGCGTGCTGAAGCGAGACGTTTCTCTGCTTTGCACTGAGATCCTCTGCCGCAGCAACAAAAAAGCGCGCCGAAGTTGAGAAAAAAATGACCCGAAGACCCCGAACATGTACGTTATACGTGAGCGAGCAGAGGATGGGCAGAACACTTCCCTATGCTTACTAGATAGGCCGCTGCCGACCACTGGTTTACACAGTCGGTGTCGTTGCAGAGGACTCCCAGACTTGCGAGTCAGGCCAGAGGGCATCACTAATTTATATGGTAGGAAAGGCTTCGTTCCACCTGTTACATACGTTTCCGTGAATTGAATATCTCTTATTCTACGAGTAACGGATATAATGAATTTAAATTTAAATTTAGGTTCTGAGCATACAATTTTAGTTATGTGATTTGTGCATGTTAGTTTGAACGCGGCACACTGCAAAAACACTTGTTAATAAATAAATATCCGTTTAGAATACTACCAAAAAAATGCTATAACATTTTTATAACTATTCATATTCATATTTTTTGTTTGTACATATTGCAGCGATTTAGAAAATAACCTTTTCATTTTAAAGTATTAACATTTATTTGTTCGGTAAGCACAATTTTTGCGCAACTCAAAAAAACCTAGCCAACGACTCACAAATACGTTAAGTTAAGATAACTAATGACAAATAATCAAATAACGTAGTCAAAACAGATTAACAATTCTAAGCCTTGCACAATAAATTGAAATGTATGGTAATCCGTTCTAGTTGGTGCCTTGGCGTAGAGCTCTGCTACGGTTTAGATAGGCTGAATGGAACGCCAAACAGGCGCTCCCATGTTTTACCGATGACATTCAGACAACAAGTGGAATTTTTATGCGTTTCGAACAACAACTGCCACGTCTCGCACTGGTTTTGGGTCTCGTCGCTAAAGTTCATCACATATTTTTGATCCGTAATGCGTTCCACGTCTACTAAGTTGCTCATGGGCTGTCTAAGGGTAAGTTCCGGTTGCGTTGATTTATCCTGAATTTTATTTGAAAGCCATGAGAATTTTAAATTTGCCGATATGTACAAATGTGACTCTGTAATTAGGAGCAGACAGTGTTCAAAGTTCTTCTTCTCTTTTTCACGAATCCATTGGCTGCTACGAAGCAGGGAGCACATTTTAACTGGTTCGGATGCAATAGTTTGCAACGGATTGCTAAGGGGTGTGAATGGTTTGTAATTAAGTTTGCACTTCTCTGGTAGAGGATGACCTATAAAAAAAAATTTAACTTTTGTCTAATAATCTTCGTGTAAAATAACTTACGTCGCAAGAAAAGAAGTAAGCTTTCGGTCGTAAGCATGTCGTGCAACAGCAACATAAATCCGCCCCAATCTTTTAAGGTAAAGGATAATCCAAGCTTCCAGGGCAGCAGTTCAACCGCCTCTAATCGACTAACCGACACTCTTACGACTTGCCGAAGCCACTTGGCCACATCGTCTTGGGGTAATGCAAAGGATTCCATTAAGAAGAAATTGCTGTTGGACATCACCACGAGTCCTTCTCCTAGGACCTGGGTCTGTTCGTTAAAAACGCGTCCCTTTGCCAACCACTTAAAATGTTCACCATCCTCCTTAAACTTGCTCTGGTAGAAGAAGAGTTTTAGACGGTGATCGATATCATTAAAGTCAATGTAGTTAAATTTGTAAGGCTGAGTACCCAAGACATTAGCTTCCGAGTCTACCATCTTCTTTGAGCTGGACATGAGCAGATTAGTTGAACGAAATACGGCTGCAAACGGTAAAAGGCTGACTTCATCACCTCTTTTTAAACGGCTTATTGGGTCCGTATTTGAGCTTATTTGACTATTTATAGATTCGGAAAGCAGCAAATTTGAAAGATTTGTCGGCCCATCAATGCCCAGCTGCTCGTAGGTTGTACAAATACTGTCGGTAATAGATCCGGACGAGCTGCTTTCTGTGAGCGGAACTTGGGACACAGCTAATGAAACGCGAGCTGCAGGCTGACCCTGCTCCGCCTGAATTAAACCGAACTTTCGATCTAAGAACCTTTTAGATTGCCCTTTTTCATCGCTTATCGTTTCCAGATATGACAGATGGCACTCTTCTGAGGTCTTGCGACTAGTGCTCTGTGCGTAGTTTGGATCTATCACCTCTATGCTTGACTGGCTCGGATTGGAGATGATATCCACATCACTTTCGTTAGCCCGAAACTCTATATCACGATCCGTGTTAGAGCTACCCACAACGGACTGATTAGAGTCAAAAGAGCTCTGCGAGTTAGTAATTTTCGAGCAAGAGCTGCTCTCGTTTAGTGAATTGCCGGAACCTAAAATGTCAATATATTAGAATTATGATCTATCGTACACTTTAATTTATTTAATGGAAGCAGCATTGCTCTTTAAGCTTAAAAAGCTATGCATTTTTATATACTTGTCGGAGTTTTGTCTTATATAGAGTGCGAAAATAAAGTGCCATAACATAAAATGTCAATATATTAGAATAAAGATCTCTCGTAAACTTAATTTTTTTTAATGGAAGCAGCATTGCTCTTTAAGCTTAAAAGCTTTAAATTTGAATACACTTGTCGGAGTTTTGTCGTATGTAAAGTGCGAAAATTTAATTACAAATACGAATTTTAATTTACCAGTTACAAAAATTACAAAAATGTATATAACATTAAACCAACCACTAATAGTGCGCTAGATTCCTTTTTGCATTTTGCCCAAATGATGTTTCACAATAAAGAACAAAAACAATAGGTAAATAGTTTTATGAAAGCAGACGTGTATAAATTGGCATATTAGCTGTTGGTGGCTTGCATTAAACTAGTACGCAAGTGTGCTTTTAGCAGTTGTGAGGCTGTAGTTTGTCACGAAAGTATTTTTTTTTTATACATCAAAACAATTTAACTTTTGTTAAATTTAACAATGGAATGTGATACAATACGTAAGTTAGGTTGGGTTTAGCCATTTTTCATTTGTGTTCGCACGCAAAAAAACTAAACAAGAAAAGAAAAATTAATGTTCGGTTATTATGTCCACACCAAACATTAACTAAATAGAACAAGCACCAAGCTAAAATGGATCAAAAACCAAAAACTTGAAAATAACGAAAAAATCTTAAAAAATTTAAATAAACTAATTAAGTTAAAAAATGAAATTGGGTAAGGACTTGCCAATGCTTTTGCTTTCTTCCTTATTTGTTGACCCTGTAAATGACTCAACAAGCGTTTCCTCCATCATTATGTTTGGGAGGGAATTTTTGTGCTCGGACACCACTTCCTCCGAATGTTTGGTCAAAGAGGAGGACAACTCAGTTACTTCGGCCACAAAAGCACTACGACAGTTTGGACATCGCAAGTCTAAGAAAGTTTAAATTTCAAATTGAAATAAAGTGTTCTTAATAGGTGATCTACGTAATACCCTTTTTTTTATGTCGCTTGCTTTTCTGCTCAATGGTAAATTGAGTTAGACAACTCACACAGCGATAAATGGATATGTTCATTTCGTTCAGATCACGCCGACAGAGAATGTCTCGCAATTTATTTTCCAGTTCCTGCTTAAGATCAAATTCGAGATTTTTTTTTGCTGTTATTAGAAAATCAACCATTTACTTACCCGACACAATGTACTCTCAACACAATAGATTCTCTCCTGCTTGTCCTTTCGAATCGTGTCGAATATTATTCGTAAGGTATTGCACTTTACTCGCTCGCATGACTCCAGTATTTTGAGACTCCATTTGGTTTTAGTCCTACTCGGCAATAGAATAAAAGACAGAGATACTTTAACTTAAAAGTTCCTTTTAATTAAATTACAAGACCACCTTTCGGTTAGCGTATCTTTTTCACGTATAAAGTTTGAAGATATGGTGAAAAAAAGAGCATCGCTCGGCTTTTGCTCATGATAGACTATGAAAGTTTCCTCGTCAGATTCGGCATCGGATACTTAAAAATACGAGTAAACTTTAAAGAGCGGATCTACAAAGTTGTTAAAACTATTACCCGTACTCTCATTCGGAAGGTTCTCATTTTGACCAGCAGTTGAGCTATTCGCAAAGAGCCTCAAAAACTCTTCGTGCTTATCAGGCAGTGACTCCTCCGCTCGCAATTCCTTTGTGATGCTGACGATGCTTTCGTAGTTTGTCACTTTTCCTTCTGTGCAGGTCTCATAAAAATTTAGGCCACTTGTATCGTTTGCATCGGACTTAATAGGGGTCAGAGTGGTGTCAAAGGTTGTATTTAACAAAACGTTATCCGCTGGAGTAGAGCAAATTTGGAGATGTTCAAGATACGCTTGAGAATTAACAATTATGCTTGATGAACCTGAAAATTCCCCCAAGAACTCATTGAACAGCTGACGAGCATTGTCGCGCTCTAGTTCAGAAGGCTGCGGCGATTCGATTCCCAGCGTCATATCGGCATTGCCGGTCCTTAACCATTCATTGCCATAAGTGAGGCGAAGTTTCTCAATTTGCTTTTTAGTCTCCAGGTGGGAGGAATCGGTTCCCTCTTCGGAGTCGGACTGAAGCTTTTGAGGGGAAATAGCGGACGCTTCTGACTCTGTCTCAATATTCTCCTCTATGTCTACTGTCCTGATCTTTTTCGATGCAGACTTTTTGGTCAATTGCGAGGTTGGTACTGCCATCGACTGTTCTGCCGTCACTGGGTAATTATGTCCCTTGACTGTCATCGAACGCCGAGAGCCGACGCTGGAAAACTGAGATCCATCGCTGTTGGCACTGGAGCTGTTTATGGACATGGAGCTACTTCTCGGATGTCTGTTTAGAGAACCTATGTAGCAACACTTCTGGCTGCCCGTCAGCGCCTTCTCCGCCTTAGTCAGTGGCGTAAAGTCCAAAACAAATTTTACCGACGTCGAGTTCTTGCTCAGATACTGTGCTGTTGCTTGTCGATGTTTGGGATTGCAAGCAAGCGGATTGCCCTGAAGATTCAAGACGGTTAGTGAAAGCAGGGCACTTAGGGGCAGCAGCTGCGAGTGTTCTAACAGGCAGTTATCGGACAGATCCAGGTTTTTTAAAGCGTCCAGCTTTGCCACGTCCAGGAGCTCCTCTATGTAGTTGTGGCTAGCGTTGAGCAACTGTAGCCGCTTATAGGCCTCCACGTGGAACTGTGGAAGGTGCGTGAGGCAGTTGTAGCTTAGGTCCAAGGTCTTTAGATGCGGCAGCCATTGGATGGCGGCTACACTGTTGAGCTTGTTGTGCCGTAGGTTTAGATGTTGCAGGTGCTGTGCAAACTCTAGGGCTGTATCCACGCTGCGCAGGCTGTTGTAGCTGAAGTCGGCTGACTGTAGTTCGTTCCACACAAACCCGTTGGAGTTGTCACCGCCGCAGCGAATAATTATGTCGTCTACGCAGGTCAAGCTCCTCACGCAGATCAGGTGCTGCAGCTGGCCCCGCAGCGGTTGGATTCCCACTACCTGCCCGATGTTGATTTTGTTCACCTCGAGCCGCCGCAGTGCTCGGAACTTGGAGATGTCCATGACGCCCTCAAAGTAAACCTCACTGGGGAAGAAGGACAGCCTCAGCAGCGTCGTCTTCTGCACAAAGTCGTAAACCAACTGCAGCTCGGAAAAAACGCTGGACTTCGCGTTGATGGGTTTGACGACTTGAAAGGACTGCTGATGAATGATGCCGGAACCAATCTCAATATCTGCGATGAGGGTGAAGGAGTCGTTCAGTGCCCGCAGGAGAGAACCTATGCCAAATGCAATGAAAGCTGTGATAAGTGAACGGACTCGAATTGGGGGCCGTAACAAAGCCCAGTCACTAGCCAATATGCGCATGATTAGTGTACTACCTTTTGCTTGGGTTCGTTTGAGATTTGTTTCATCTTCCTTACCTGATAACGTCAAGGTAAACTCGGAGCTCAATACTTTGTCGCCGTTCTGGCGTAGAAGGCTGGCCAGCTCAGCGATCTTCAGCGGATCCATCTTCTTCAGCTGTGTTATTCCATGCGATATATTTATTTATTATTACTTATAATAATATATTTTAATAATATATTTTTTAATAATTATTTGTTTAATATTATTTTTTATTACTTTTTATATTAGAAGATCCGATTAGCAAAACCGTTAGGCACAATTCTTTATTTTCTTAACTACTATAATTGCAGTTCATCGAAAATTTGTCGACGAAAAAATACAAAGGCAAATGTACATATATGCACATATGTAAATATGTATGCACAAATGACGCCAACCACTAGACATACCAGCGATAACAACTGTTTCACATTTATATACATTGCGTTTTGTCTTGGTTTAATCATATATCCAGACACAGGTTATCATTATTCGTCGCAATTAAGAAAAAGGAATATTCCACTCGAAAATTGCAAAAGTACTTTTCTTATTCCCCTTCTTCCTGACCAACAGCAGGTATACGCATACGTAGTATACGTAACCGTTTACGTATTAATTACTTGCGATTTCTAGCACTGAAAATAGTGTTAACGTACCCAATAAAGGTCGATTCTTTCTTGTATGCAATAACCTCGAAACTGGTTAGGATTTTTAACAAATGTAAAACACCATCTACCATCCGATAGAATGAAAAATTCTGGGAACGGTAAAACCTTGTGGACCATCCGCTCAACGGATGGTAGATGGCGGATAGATCTCTGTGGGAAGACGCTATAACTGGGAAATTCTCGAAACGGCAATACCTTATGGCAATACCATCCGTTTAACGCAGCGGTCGGCACCGCCCTTTTAAGTGGGCATAGGGAATTACTCTGCCCATCCGCTACTCGCTCACGAATATCGTAGATGTTCTTCGGGTCTTTTTTTCTCAGCTTCGGGGCGCTGCTGCAGCAGAGGTTCGTCGTCGCAGAGCGACAGAATTCAAAATCACTTGCTGCTCAGCCGTTAACACAGAAATACAACTCTGCTCAACTTTTTGAAACACACTAAGAAAAATGAAATTCTATGAAAATTGAGATATGCAATATTTCTTTATAGAAAATATAAAAATTGTTGGAAAATTGTTACAGCTAAAAGCGAAATATTTGCCCATACAATTCCGAATAACGACAATTTAGCTTTGAAAAATGCGTCTAATGTCGTAGTGTTAGCTTTAGTACAGTATGTTGCGCATTCACCGATGGAATTTTTTTTTTAAATTTAAGGACAGACAGTTATTAATTTTTTTTTATGGTTTTTGGAATTTTATTTTTGTTTCTGTTTTTTTTATAAAAACAAAAAATCTCCCATTATTATTTTTTTATATTATTTTATATTTGAGGATTCTATTCTATTCCTTTTATCTTTATTTGTTGTATATTCTATCCCACGTTTTAAAATAATTAAAAAAACATGCCCCCAATTTTGTTTAAAAAATTTTTGTTTAGTGCAAAGCAGAGAAACGTTACGCTTCAGCGCGCTGCGCGCCAACTTCGTGTTTTTATACCCAGTCGTAAGTTGTGGAACGTATTAAAAAAAAAAATAGTTCTAGTTTTTACGCAAAACAACACGCATGCAAACTTTGCAGGGCAAATGTGCCTGCTAGGTGCATTCTATTGCGGTCCCATTTGGGTGTGTTTCAATATAGTGCATCCATATGCATGCCCAAACGGAAATTGGGGAACGCATTCTGAAATAAATAGTTCTGGGTCGTTTTTTTTACGCAAAACAACACGCATTTACCAAGGCAAACGTGTGTGCTAGGTGCAGTCTATTGCGGTGCCTTTCAGATGTGATTCAATATAGTGCATCACGCTCTATTTTGCTGGGAATGTAAAAAAACAAAAATGAAACCCGATGGTTGCTGATGCCCGTTTTTTATGATCGTTTTTTTCGGTACTTTTCTCTTGACAAACAAATAATAAAGGCATAGGGCAACATGCAATTTTGCATTTCTCGTCTGTTGCTTTTTTAATTCTGAAAAGTGAAGTTCGTTCCACGTGTTTTGAAAAAATTGTTTGCGTTCTGTCACCAATCTTACATCAATATTTTCACAGGTAAGTTAAGTGCAGCAGTTTAGTTACGTATGTACAATGGTACATATGTGCATTGAACATACAAACTAAAAACAAATTAATTAAATAAAAAATTAATTATTTGTATGCAAGTTGTACATAAAACAGTGTAATTGTGCCAAAATAAACATATTGTATATTTGTGATATATATAAAGATGTATATAAATATAAAATACCCATTTGCTTTATATCTTTCAGAATCAAAAATTAGTTGCGTTCTTGAATATTAAAATAAAAAAATATATGAAATTATTTTATGTATTCTTTGTGAAAATTTACAGATATTTGATTTTTGAAAGCATCTAAGTGCTTTAAAAAATAGTGCGTGCAGAATGTGTCTAGTTTGTTGCATCTGGGTGCATTCCTGGGCGTATGTTCCAGGCGCATTAAAAAAGAGTGCTTCCAGGCATTCGAAATATATACACTTAGGATGAATGAAACGGGTGCATTCTTTTTGTCCCGCACCCGTGTAAAAGGAGTGGACAGACTCATGCCATTTCATAATGAAAGATCGGGTGCTGGAACGCAGTCATTTCCCTGCAGTTCCACAATTGAGTTAAGCGCCCAACCATCACGAAGCCGACTGTGACGTCGGCAGAGCAGCCAGCGACTCCGGCAGAGCTGAGCGCAACGGCGGCAAAGAGACGCGCTCTCAGTCGGGGTCCGCAAAGAGAACGCACAAAAAGTACTTTTGGGCTCTCTCTCTCTCGCCATGTCTCAGCTGGAGAAATGCGTGTGAGGGCAAGGTGGCCCAATCCGACAACCAATTAAAATAATATGTTTGGGTTTTAAATTATTTGTATTTCTTAAAAAAATTTATATGTTTATTAATATTATTTATTAATATGGGAAGTCTTAAAAATATATTTTTATGTAATGATTTGCATAGTCGGATATGTCTATAAATACCCTGCTTTTATGTGCAAGGTGCATAGATCAAACGGGTCATGCCAAAAAAACAGAGCAACAACAGATTAGCGGAACCGTTGTTGTTGTTGCTTGTTATTTTTCTGGAAGGCACGCGACTTTTTTCGTCTTTTTCACTTGCGTTTACTTATGTGAAGGAGTTAGAATTGCCCGCAATTAACGTAGTTACATAAAATAAGCCAGTGGTTTAAAAGTGGTACCTATACGATTCCCAGGTAAGTCTGTCGCAGACCAATATTTATTTAAACAGTGAGAGTAAAAACAAGTTATTGTGTATTAAAAAAATGGAAAATACAAGATTCTCAAAAAAACACGTGGAGGAAAAAAAATAGCTGTGAAAATATTAATTTTTGACGTGAAAAACAACAAATGAAGCATATAAATAAACAAATGAATGAATCTGTGAAAAAATTTAAAAATCTTATTGAGTGCAAAGTTCCCGGGGACGAAAAATAAGAGATGTTTGTTCTTATAACTTATGTTTGTTTGTATTAATAACATTAAAGCACAATTTTTATTTTTGTGTAAGTAAACAAACATGGCTATTTAAATAAAAATCTCAAACATCTCTAATTTTCCGTCCCTGGAAAAGTGGTATTTTTTTCCGCATCTTCAAAATAAATAAATGTTTTAATAAATAATAAAAAAATACATAAAAAAATTTTTACAACAAAATAAAATAAATCAAGTGACCGAAAACAAAAGTTTGCAAATTTCTTCTCGATATTTTTTTAATTTTCATATTTTTTAAGACAAGGCTGATGTAAATCTATAAAAAAATGGAAGGCTGAGTCGTTCCATCTTAAGCATATTATCCGAGGAACTTGTTCTGTCCCACAACTTGGAGGGGGGCAAAACAAGAAGAAACTCAGTCTACCCAAAGTTCGTCCGCGCCTTATTAAGTAAGTTTTTATTGAGGCTGAAAGTAACTATTGTTTGTAAGTTTAATTTTTAAAAGACTTCTGGGATTTTTACATTGAATGCCAAAGATAACATTTCTTTTATTATAAATAAATCTTACAAAAAACGATTACTTTAGGCCACTCGTTTTAATTCTCCTCTAGTTTTATTTTTAAAACTAATTTTTTTTCTAATACTAGATGCAATCACTCTGGTGGAGCCTCGGAGCCTCCCGAAAAGTCGCTGCCGAAGGCAATGCGGTGCGTTAAAAACTTGAGTTGTACCAAAAAAAAAGGCACCAGATGCTGAGGAGGAGGTGCCAGCGACCACGATAACACCGGGAACCCCCGAGCTCAAATTTTAAAATAAATAAATAAAAATTACAACTGAAATTTTATTTGCTGCTAAGCGCTCAACGTGTGCTGAATGTGCGCTTTTTCGCTGCTTGAATGAGCGCTCAACGTGTGCTTTTTCCGCTGCGTAATCGAGCGATCAACGTGTGCTGATTGTGTGCTTTTTCCGCTGCTTAATCGAGCGCTCAACATGTGCTGAACGTGTGCTTTTTTTGCTGCTCAAAAAAGCGCTCAATGCGTGCTAGTTCTTGTGCACTGATGAACCCTAGGACATGCCTATGTTAATTTAAGCACTCAGTTCCATACAAATTGTGCTATTATTGAGCGCTCAGTGATGAACTTTTTGCAGTGATTGAGTGCTCAATAAGCGCTGAATGGTACTGCAGGGTAGTTTAACGTGTGGAAGATGGTAGATTGATCTCTGTGGAAAGAGGGTATTAAATTGCTGTTGCAATTTTAATCGGATCGAACACAGCGGATCGGCAAAAACAAACCGAAACCGAAGGAGGCGGGCATGCATGTTTATTTGTGAATATCATAATAGTTGCAGAATGTCGTTTAGGGGCTCGAAATTAGACATATACGCCGCCGAGCCACGCCGCCGCCGCCGCCGATTTTTTGCTTTTTTGACGCGCCGCCGCCGAGTCACGTAAAAACCGGCGCGGCGGCGGCGGCGGCGGCGTTCGGCGTCATACAAATTTTTATTCATTTTATAAATAAAAAAGGTTATTATTAATATATCCTAAAAAAATTTTCGACAATAATCGCTTTCAGTTATCGATTAAATGTAAGGAAAGTTTTTCTTAAGAATTTTTTTTTAATAGTTTAATAATGAAGACAATGAATTTCAATTTCAATCAATTTCAATGAATCTCAAAACTGTCAAGTCAAGAAAAGACAATGAATCTCAAAACTGTCAAATCAAGAAAAGACTGTTATTTTGTTTTAGTTTTAGTTTAAGTTGTTATTTCGCTTTACTTACTTATTAATTATGAAGTCAATAATTTCAGTTTAATTTGTTATTTCGCTTAACTTACTTATTAATTATCAAGTCAAGAAAAGACTCTTATTTAGTTTTAGTTTAATTTGTTATTTCGCTTGACTCACTTATTAATAAAAGGAAAAAAAAAATCAGTTTATTAAATGCTTACGCCGCCAGCCGCCGACAATTTCACCGGCGGCGTACCCGCCGCCGCCTCCGGTTCTTTCTAACGGCTACGCCGCCGCCGCTGGGTAATTTAGAACTCTACGCCGCCGCCGCTGCTGAAACCATCGGCGTAAACCTCTACTCGAAATCCGGTCGGAGCTCTCTCCTAAGAAAATATTTGAAATTCAAAGTCCGCCATGCCACGCTGCCTTCCGATATTGATTTAAAGGTAAGAACAAGCTTTTTTTAATTTAAAAACGTTTGTTCTGAGTTTAAGAAATTTTGATTTGTATTTTAAGAACAAAATGTTATAACGAAACGATCATAAATTAGGATTTTTTTTTTTAATTTATTCTGGACCAATAGCGACGCCGTTAACCTTCCACTTACGATTGTTCCCTGTCATCATTGTTTACGTTTTCGTAGGGAATGTTTCAATTTCCACTGTCTAGAAGAAGAGCCCAGAGTTGCACCGAACAAATATCGCCTTACTCTGGCATAAAGAAGTTAGTCAAATTTGGATGGGGAACTGGGAAATTTTCGAAACGGCATCCGTTCAACGGATGGAAGATAGTGATTTGTGGGAACCGGTATGAAACGGCAAAGACCTTCTGTCGTTGGCCGCGAAATACACCCTCTCACCAAAGATCAATGTAATCTCTAAGATACGCGACGGCCATACATTGGTTTTGTTATATGCAGTTAAATTTTTGGTGGCGCACAAAATTAAGTTCTCTTCGCTCGCACAAAGTTGAGAACAGCCCTGAAAGCAAAAAGGCGATATTTTTATAGCCTGTCGTCCAGAAGTCACTTTTTAGCAACTTCTGCGCGATCGAAACACGATAGAACACATTTTACAGAAACAAAGGTCACTTCTAAGTCACTTCTGGACGATAGAAAGAAGTGATTTTTGAGACACTTCTGAGCGATAGAAAGACGATAGTACATATCTTACAAAAACCAAATTAGTGGAAAAAAACACGCGATAAAAAGAGGTCGCGGTAATTTTCCTTTACCCCATTTTTTCTGAAAATTTCTCGGGTCTTCCTTTTAACCCACGCTATTTCGCACGAGCGTCATTTCGATTCGCGAATTGTCTGTGGACAGTGCGGTTTTGTACCGAATTTGTGCGTTTATTAAATATAGCTTTGTTTTTTTTAAATGTTTTCTTATTGCCTAACATATAAAGTGTCCCTCTCAACAAAGGGTGCAAAATTACGTGCACGATTATTTAAAACTATTTACGAACAAGCTAGCTGTGGACATTACTTGGCGTGTAACTGCGGAGAAACCCAGCATCCAATGATTCTCCACATATTTCATTGTAAAAGGTAATGTCTTTTAGTTTATTTTTACTTGGACTGAACAAAAAACAATTTCTTTTAGAAATGGTTATTACTAAATTTCTCATGACGACGGAGCTGGACCTAAATAACATTGCTCAGCAAAATTTCCTATATGCCAGGGACGGTGTATACAAGCGGACAAAGCCCTTATACAAAATATAAATGCAAAAAAGTAAAAAAATATGTTTTTATTCAAGATTTTCCAATTGGGAAATTCTCTTCTAGGTATCTTTTACAAGCATATGTAAAGTCACTTCTGAGTGACTTCCAGAAGGGACTACGGCGACACTTCCTGAAGATACTTCGGCGGTCCGAAAGCGATATCGCGTACGATCATTTCATCTTCTAGAAGTCACTTAATAGTGCCTTCCGCGATAGAAAATGCTTGCTGCGCAGGGTTGCACAACGAACAAGCATGTGTGTATGTAGGCGTTCTTGTTCAAGAAGACGATTTTCGGTGCCAAATTATTTCTGAGCTAAGAAACGGGTTTACTTGCAGCCGTTAAAAAAAGGATAAGGGAAATGCATTGGTCATAAGAAATACCATAATTGAATCGGACGTTTAATATTAACAGTTTAATTTATATTAACCATTTTATATACTTACTGTTTTAAATATAAAATATAAAAAAAAAAATATAATTATATTTGTATTGTGTGCCTATTTATAACACTAACTTACAGGAACTTAACGCATTCATAGCTCCTGCGGCTTTCGTCTGAGTGTAAATCGATATATGTATAAGAATATGAAAAAATTCGTTTAATCTAGTAAAATATTCTTAACTAATGTTAACTAAAATGTTTTCCTAATACATATTTGAGCGCACAATTTGTATGAAAATGAGTGCTTAAATTAGGAGGCGTGTCCTAGTTGAGCGCTTGATTAAGCAGCAGAAAAAAATCACGTTCAGCACATTTTGAGCGCTTGTTTATATATGGACATTTCCACGGGTCGCGAACGTACGTTTGTACGCACTTAGTGCAAATAAAAACAAAGAAAATAAGTGTTTTCTGAATTTTTTCCAGCTGTTCGATAGCATTTTGTTAGCTCTTTGCTTAGTGTAAATGATGGTGTTCATTGAGCTATAATTTTCATAATATTGGCAAAAGTCGACTTGGAAAAAACTACACAAAAAAAATTTGTGGTTTAATGTTATTAATATTCATCTTTTACGATTTTGAAACACAAACATAAGTTATAAAAACAAACACCTATTATTTTATGTCCCTAGGAACTTTGCACTCAATAAGATTTTTAAATTCTTTCACAGATTCATTCATTTGATTATTTATATGCACCAATTGTTGTTTTTCACGTCAAAATTTAATATTTCTCACAGCTATTTCTTTCCTCCACGTGCTTTTTTGGGAATCTTGTATTTCTCTTATTTTTAATATACATTAACTTGTTTTTTACTTTCAGTGTTTAAATTATTGGGCTGCGACAGACATACCTGGGAATCGTTTCGATATCACTTTTAAACCACTGGTTTATTTAATTTATCAAAGTTAATTGCTGGTATTTTTAACTCCTGCACATAGAGTGGATCCCATTAATACTCGGCTTTTTTTCCAACTTCAAACGCGAATGAAATGTTCAAATCAAATAATAAAAAATAATCTTAAAAAGGAAAGGTAAAGGTTTTTTTTATTACCAGTTCATCAAGTTACATATCTTCTGGATATATTAAAAAATAAAAATAAAAACATACATAAACAAAAAAAAACTCAACATTTTGAGTGACTTTAATATTAGTTTTTTTCTTTAAAACTAAAAAAAAATGATTTTTTCTAAGAAATTACACCTAATTTAATATTTTGTTTGTTAGCCATTACTTTTTAGGGTATAATTCAAGCGTTTTGGCATATTGACTATAATTTTGTTGGTGTATTCTTGCATTTTTGGTTCAGCTTCTTCGCGATCAGGCAGTTTTTTGGGTTGTCCTTTCTGCTTTATTGACTCCACTCTTCCCTCATTTTAAAATCTCCGGACGATATCCGTATTTGGCTTCATTTCATTCGTCCAAGGACGAATTCATACTTTTGCGGCATATTAGGCATTTAGGCATATTAGAACTTCAGGAAGTGGGAGCCGGATTGGGAACGGGGTTATTCCGCCTGAAGCTGCATGATGTCGCCCAGCGTCCTGGTAATGGATGGAGATGGCTACACCAGCTCCTCCTCCCTATAGAAGCCGACGCGTCCCCCATCTCCGCTGTAGCTGCCAACTAGGTGGTGGAAGTGGAGTCCGGTCGTTCCTCAATGAAGAGCTCGTCGGAGATCGAGCGAAGTCCCACTCGGCATGTTCCTTCCCACTGGGATTCTCTAGTGGATCTCCTCCAGAACCGCTTTTGCACGAACACCGCCAAATATTAAATTTCCTATTCTTTGGGCCGCGGCTAACGGCGTTCGTCGAAATTCACTCGCTATATCTGGTATTTTTTCTGGTATTTCGTTAGCTCATCTGAGTACCGCTCTGAAAAACTGACCCGACGAAAAGCGTTAGCCGCGTATTTGCCTCTCGCTCACTCCTGTGGTTAGCTCGCGGTTTTCGTCGATGTGAGTACTAGTCTTAATCCAGTAAAATGCAAAAATCTTACGAATGTTCTAAAGCAATAACTTTACTTTTAAAATGGATTCATGTAGCTTTTTTTTTTATTGAATTAAGTACCGATCGCGAACGTACGATTTTTCAATGTTGTATTATTAACAGTAGATATCTTCTTATTAGATTGCAATAAAGGGATTTGGTAGAATAAGTGCAAGCAAATCATATGTTTTCCATGCAAAATAGTTAATCATAAAAATGACTTTAAAAGTAGCAGGTAGTATATAATTCGAAACCAGCCGGATCGGACAACTATATTTTAAGCTCCGATAGGAATAATCAGAGAAAAAAATTTTAAAAATTATATCTTTGGTGTTTTTTAACATATAACCTCCTAAGCTTGGAAATAACATTTTTTAATTCGTTTTAAATTAAATTTTATCAAATTCGGACGACTATATCATATAGCTGCCATAGGAACGATCGGAAAATTGGTGGGAAAATAATATGAAACAAATTATAG